TACATTTATTTTCAACACAATCAAAGCAAGGAACTACAAATTATTTTTATTTATTTAAAAAAAGCTTAAGATATGGTTCCAAGAAAAGCTCTTTCGAAAGTTCTAGAGAAGAAAGGTGTTGATATGACTTATATTCATGTAGCTAACCCGACTTAGTGGGATATGGACTTGTTTTTATTGTTTTTGAAAATAAATGACCTTGTTTTTAGAATATTCAAAATAAATTTTACTTGTTTTGAGTGTGTTGAAAGTAAAATTCATTTGTTTCTAAAAATAAAAATTAAAACACATGAAGAATGCACTAAACAAACATTTTTTAGAAACAAAAATAAAATGTCCCAAAAAGGCCCTTTGAAATTTGCCTACCTTTACAACTATCTTCATTTATCCCATGCATGCATTAAACACCAAACAAGCTTAAATTCAAAGGAACATTATGTTTATTAAACTAAATTATATTAAGCAGCAATCACCTAGAAAAGCATAAATTTGTGGCTAACTACGAATGCAGTAATTCAAAAACTCCATTATTTGAACAATTTGAACATTTGGTGCGCCTGTGATTTGAAAGAGGTAAAGTATGCACTTGTCTCAAATAAAAGGATTAGAGTCTTAACGAGTTAAAAAATTCATTAATAAGGACAAGTCAGCATTTATTATTTTCATTTAAACATAACATTATTATCTCCAGCAATATTAAATTGTTGAGTGCACTAATGTTTATTAAGGTCGGTCAGGAAGACCAAGCCCAATCAAGGTTAGTCACGCCAAATGCATTATTCTGTGCCAAAATGTGCATATAAAAAAATAATGGATAATATTGAGAAATATTTTATTAAAAAATTAGTTCAAAATATGGTCAACTTTTTTTTATTAGGTGACAAGCGACACAAGGGTGATATTATTCAACCATTTGTCCCCTAGCTGGCTAGCTAATATGGAAAACAGGTAATCCTTCGCAAAAATAGGGGAAAAAAAAAAGATCCTTACTTTAATTTATTGTTTCACCTATATTTTAAAATAATGTCTTTCCGAAGCGCATGTAAGAGATATAGAAAGCTCTATGCATTTGCAATCCCTGCTTTATTCTTAACTGATTTTTCATCCCTTAGATAAATTTTGCGAAGGAGCTCTCTTTATAACTATAATATCAAAATACAATTTTTTAAAATTAGATCATTTCCTTAATTGTTTCATCTGTATTGTAAAATGAATTGTGCAATTGTTTGAGAGAGAGAGTTATAGAGAACTCCATATTTTCACAATACCTACTTTTCCCTTCATTTCCCCCATCTTTTTTCACCCAAAAAACAAAAAATCAGCTCATCCATCACATTCCATTTTGCACATTAAATATCAAATTTATTTACATAGAGAGTGTGCAGGAGTCTAAAGGCCTTCGTTTAAGTAGAACTAAAACTGAATACATGGAATGTAATTTTAGTAGTAATAGCTCTAGTGACAGAAGTGTGACTTTGGGTGATCAAATTATTAAAAGGTGTGAACGATTTAGATATCTTGGGTCCGTTGTCCAAAGCGATGGTGATATAGATGGGGATGTTAATAGTAGAATTCAAGTTGGTTGGTTGAAGTGGAGGAATGCTTCGGGCCTTTTGTGTGATAGAAAAGTACCGCTAAGGCTGAAAGGAAAATTTTATAAGATGGTGGTGAGACCTGCAATGCTCTATGGCGCTGAATGTTGGCCTTTAAAAGAGAAGCATAATAATAAGTTAAGTGTTGCCGAGATGAGAATGATTAGGTGGATGAGTGGCTTTACACTTAGAGACAAAATGCGGAATGAATATATTGGTGATAGGGTTGGTGTAGCTCCTGTGACAGACAAAATTAGAGAAAGTCGTCTTAGATGGTTTGGTCATATTAAACGTCGACCATTAGATGATCCGATTAGGAGAGTAGATGTTTTAAATTCGACTTGTGTTAAGAAAGGCAGAGGTAGACCTAGGAAGACTTGGGCTTATTGTATTAAAAATGATCTTAATTTACTAGAACTAAATGAAAATATGACACTAAATAGGACGCAATGGAGAAAAAGGATTCATGTAGCTGACCCCACGTAGTGGGATTAAGGCTTTGTTGTTGTTGTTGTTGTAAGCAAAGGCTGATAATGTCATGCTTCGACTATGGCTTTCCAACTGAATAACTCTATAAATGCTTTGTAGAACTTCATCTGCTATTTTTGCCCTGCAGTTATTGTAACATTGATATGGCTCGTTATGATTTGAAGTAAGGAGCAAGTATGTTCGATAGTGAAAAGCAGTCTTTCTTTTATGTCATCTTTGTATGATTAAGATCTTGTAATTCTTGTCATCTTCAGTAGAAAAATATTAAAACTACATATTCATATTAATAATTTATTAAATAAAAAAACCATGTCCATGTCCTACGATGTCATACTTTTTTGCAATTATGCCATGTCACTCTATCGTATCGTGTCATTTGTGTCCCCGTGTTTGTGCTTTATACCATACAATTTGATAAAGCATGAGTTTTTTTCTTTTCCACCTTGAAAATAAGGTGTCTTTTAGGATAAGAGTAATGTTAGACGGGCGCCTACAACACCGTCCACCACGTGCTTTACTAAGACAACACCAAGCCTGCCAAAATAGTTTGAAAACTTTTGTTGGGCATAAATGCTAAAAAAGAAATGTACTCATTTTTTAGCTATTATTGTAGGGTATAAATAGGGTTTAATATGTTTAGGATTAAGTTGTGTGATTTTTGTCTTCAATTGTAGGTTTAAGATTTGGGAGAGATCACCTACCTCTCGAATTATAGGTGTTTATCTTTTATTTATTCGGGATTGTATCGTTTTAATTTGGTACAATTGAAATAATATCTATTATTTTTGCCCGAATTCATGCAGAAACTTATCTCGTTCCTATCAAAATGGGCAGAAACTTGTCTCATTCTTGTTAGATTGTTGCCATCATCACACAAATAAGTAAGAATAACAAGTTTTAAGATACCAAACTCATTTTATTTTCTATCAAAATATGAACAAAAAAAAGGCAAAGTGATCCGAAATGATCCCTTAGAAGTTTAAAATTTAGTTGTGAATAAAAAATAAAGAGAACAAAACAAAACAAAACAAAAATTTTGGTGAACAGATATTTCTCAATTTTCCCCAATAAAGTGAAGTTAATTGAGCATCAATGAAACATTCAAGACAAGGAAATACGCCAAAATGTAATTTGTTTGTTAGGTAATGCGACAAAATTTATCTGACAAACATAACCAGTCAGAAATCTCACAAAAAAACCACAGCAAAGTGAAATATCAATATTGGCAAAGAAATAAATTTCTTTTATGCAGTACCTTGAAATATTTATCCTTTGCTATTACTTCTGCATATGCTTGTTTATTGGATTTACGTCTCTGCAAGTATGTCATTGTAAGAAAAACAAAATTACAAATGCAAAAAAGGTCAAACACAAATTCACTGTCGATGGATGGATCAACAAAGAATAGTAATTCGGAAACTGACCATTTCTGTTACATCATGTAATTCATTTTCCAATGAATCATGCGACTGCAAATTTCTTGGTAATTCTGGAACACCTGTAAAACAGCAAATAAATCCTTCAACAAATTCGAGACAGTTGTATATAAGTGAATCAGAAGTTTAATAAAAGAAGGATAGAGAAAGAAAATGCTTTATTTGGAATGAAATGGCAGTCACATGTCAATTGGGATTGGCAAGTCATACATTTGGGAGGTGACGACTCATGACAGCACAATCACAATCAACATGTCAAATTTCAAGAACTCAGGTACCATAACAATTTCTCCAAGGCATACTCTTCTATCAAGAATGATGGCCAATGCAACTTTCACGGTCCATGATTTGAATTGAACAACCCCAAACTAATAATCGACCTAAAACTGCATAAGTCTTGTACATATCAACCCTTAATTATACAAATTAATTTTTCCCCTCCCGTTATTCTAATCATAATTTTATTCATGCATTTGTCGTTATGTATAGCCTACAAATTCAAGTAACCTATTTATTGCTATCAAAATAGAAATTACTTGAAACATCAGTTTTCAAAAAATTTTATAATAATTGAACCATTCACAATGCATTTTATAAAAAAGATTGGACATAAGTCTCATACATATCAACCCTTAATTACACAAATGAATTTTTACCCTCCCGTTATTCTCCTCATAATTTTATTCTTGCATTTATCGTTATGTATAGCCTACAAATTCAGCAACCTATTGATTGCTATCAAAATAAAAATTACCTAAAAGATCATTTTTCAAAAAAAATTTATAATAATTGAACCATTCACGATGAAATTTACAAAAAAGATTGGACATAACTCTTTGTGAGTTTAGCTTTGCCTATGTATTTCACCAATCAAAAACATCATCCATAAGAAAAATATCATAAAGAATCCATGTATTTAATTCCAGACCATTTGAACATCTAAACATCGAAATCAAGATCGCCTTCTAATAAATTATAGTCATTCATTGAGAATTTTTTTTTCATATGATTGATAATCAAATGACATAAAAAACCTTGAATCATTACAACAAACTTCAATGTAGTTGAAAAGAATGGATGAGTTTGGCGAAACATCTTAATATTAATAAGCAGAGGAAAATAATGATTATCCTCGCAAGAGGAGAAAATTGCAATTCAATTCAATAACTCCAAACCCACAATCCTTTCCAACTCGTCATTTGCTCCAATCTCACAGCAAGCTCATGCATCAGCCTCTCAGTGATGTTACATGCTTTCACAATATCCATTTTGCATCTGTAAACCATCAAGAATTTTAAATCATTGTCAAGAATCTGTACATCGTCAAGATCATATTGCAACATGAAAATAGACCACAATCATAATTGAACAAGCTGGTTGAACCGGCTGGCATAAGGATTGGTCTAAGGTGTCGGCCCAGACATCCAGGGGGCGAGCAGCATCATGCGGTCCGGGGCAGTCTTTCCTCTCATATCTCCCACAAGGATCGAGCAAGATTTTGGGAGAGGCGGCATTGCCGCCTAACCATTCTCCTCCCTTTCTTGTTGTTTTTCCTTTCTTGTTGCCACTTAGCTAGGTCAATTTATATGCTTGTTTTTCTAAGTTTAAGGGAGTTTTTGTTGTGTTTACTTTCAGGTTGCTTGTGTGGATTCCTTCTCCCTTTCGTAGGGCTACATCTAAAAAGCTGGTGGTGCTTCGGCTATACCCTACTCCGAGGTGGTGATTGCATCTCCCCTTCTATCTTCTTTAAACCTTCCCTTCCCTTCCCCAATAGCAGTCGGCTATTCCAATCCTTCTCCAACCACCTCCAACACGCCATCCAACCAACAAACCTGCTGTCCAAACCTCCAAGCCTATTTTCCAACCAATCAACCTGTTATTCTGCAACCAAACCTGAAGCCCAACACTCCATCCTTACTATAACCACCCCGAAACATCAAACCTCTGTTGTTCCCGCCATGTCTGCCCCAATTTCCTGCTATTACTGCAAAGTACAGTCAGCCCCCTAGTTGTTCCTGTAGTTTCTAATTGTACCTTTGCTGCCGCTAGCCCTGCTAGCCATCTCAATCTACCCAACTTGCCACCACCACCCTACGAATACACTTGAGAGGTGTTTACTTGTGTCACTTACATTTGTATTGTCATATCAAGGTGTAGTGTTGTAAACCTCTCTCTACATTAATAAAAGTTTGCCTTGTATGTTTCCTCTATTTTTCTAATTAGTTTAGGTATCGTTTAGTATCAGAGATAGCCCAACCCTAGTCTCATCCTAGAGTTTCATAGCATCGGCCAAAAACCAGAACTTTCTGCCCTACCACCAAGTATCATTTCCACAACCCAAACCTTAACCACACCAAAATTTTACTTTCACAATCCTTAATCCCTAGCCATGTCACCAAGGAGATATATGTCAGAGCCTACCCGGGACGAGATAAGGCGGGCGCTCTATCACCTTCTGAAACGGCCTGCAGGGATTGAAGAATTAACACAGGAAAACCTTGCTTCAATCGAGATATGGAGACTCAAAGAGGAGAAAGAGGTGGGGACCTGAGTCCCTTCTATAGGGATAATTTCAGCAACGAAGATAAGTCACGACGTTTCAGAATCCAGTATCCAAGGAGGCCTAAAGAGGGATATCTGAATCCCCCCCACCAGGAGGCTCACAGAGAGGAGATATCATTTAAAGGAGACAGAGACTTCGACAACAAGGTAGATCAACCAGAGTTCGAAAGAGATATGGATCCTGAAGATTTCATTGATTGCTTACGGGCTGTTGAACGGATCTTCAAGTATAAAGATGTGTCAGATGATAAGCGGGTCAAATTAGCGACCATCAAGCCGAAGAAGAGTGTTTCTCTGTGGTGAGAGAAAATGAAAAAAGCGATGCAGAGGAAATACCTCACACATCATTACCAACTAAATATGTTTTTGAAACTCTACCACCTGCAATAGAGGGATCTAGCGGTAGAGGAGTTCATGGAGCAGTTTGATCAATTGCAAATGAGATGTGATCTGGTCAAGCCCGACGAGCACACTGTAGTCCATTATCTGGGGGGGGCTTGAAACCAGCTATCAGCGATGTGGTACAACTACAACCTTCTTCATTACTTTGAAATGTTCAGACACTAGCCCTGATGTTAGAGAGGCAACAGTCATCCTTCAAATAGGAACCTGTAGACAGGCAGTCACCTACAGCTATCACGATAGACAAAGGTACCCCGAGAGACACAAGCAGACCCGGGCAAGGGAGTGACTCTAGCTCTGAGCGGAAAGAAATAGGAGAAGGGCAGCCCATCCAATACTATGTTAGCTATTAAGTGTTATAGATGTCACGGCTACGTTCGCCTTGCCTCCAGCTATCCCACAAGGCAAAGTAGTCACACTTACCGATCAGGGCGCCGTGGAGGTTAGCGAGGAGACAACGGAGGACTAGAGAGATGAATCACCTTCCCCAAAATGAACGGGTCGTACATGTTGATCTTGACACGAGGGATTCGCAGTGGCTTCACCACAACATTATCTACACTTATTGCACAATGAACGGAAAGGTATACAGTCTTATCATTGACAGTGAGAGCATCAAAAATGTGGCGTCGATTCAAATGGTAGAGAAATTTAGAATCACGAATCAGAGGCACTCCCAACCGTACTCACTTGCATGGCTGAAGAAAGAGAACCGGATCATCATCAACTGGAGATGTTTGGTAGAGTTCTCGATCGGAGGCCATTTGCGGGACCAGGTGTGGTGTGACGCGGTCCATATGGATGCCTGCCACCTCCTGATAGGTCAACTGTGATAGTTTGACAGGACTCAGCACGATGGATTCAAAAACACGGTCATTTACTAAGAAGGGAAAAATGCATCATTCTACTCCCTTCAACAAAGCCCAAGATCACTAAACTATTACTAGCAGAGCAGCGTCGGTGGGACCAATTCTAGTGACGACATAGGATGAGAGGACTGATACACAGGTTCCAGACACGGCACAGTTACACCTGAGAGGATGTCGAGATCACACAATCGACATCATACCACCAACTCCACTACCAGATAGGAAGATTCAGGCAACTCGCGATATATCAAATTGGCTCGGTCGTAGGTTACTTGGGAGGATTCAGCAGTACAGGCGTGGGTCACAGTCTTAGGAGAGCGAATCGATGGGGATATGGGCGCGCAAGTGATGTCGAATTCTTCGATGCTCTGACTGATAGTGAAGCCGACAGTGGGACTCGGGTGTCGTCAGGATTAGAGAGAAGGAATCAGAATCTTCGACGAATGAGGTCGAAGCTCTCCCAACCCGGATGGCTGGAGTAGATGAGGGGGGGGGTTCAGGTTCCCACACAGATGTGGGAACCATGCCAGCCAGTTATACCGACTAGCATGGGACCAATCCAAGCAGTCGATTCAGACAACCAAGGGGACAAGCGACATCATGCGGTCCGGAGCAGCCATTCCTTTCGCATGTCCAGCCCTGATCGAGCAAGATTTGGGGAGAGGCAGCATTGCCTCTTGGCCCCTCTTTCCTTTCGTGTTTTTCCTTTCATGTTGCCCACTAGCTAGGTCTATTTATATGCTTACTTTTCTATGTTTAGGGGAGTTCTTTTCGTGTTTAATTTCATATTTCAGGTGTGAATTTCTTCTCCCTTTCGTAGAGATGTATCCAATGAGGTGGTGGTGCTCTAGGGATATCCTACTCCGGGTGGTGATTGTATTTCCCCTTTAATCTTCCCTAAACCTTCCCTTCCCTTCCCTTCCCTACCCCCTTAGTCGTTGACCACTCCGATCCTTCGTCAATTGCCTTCCGCCCACCTTCCAGGCGACCAACTTGATATCCAGCCTCTACAAGCCTGTTGTCCAACCCCACAAGCCAAACCTGACACCTAACACTTCATCCTTGTTGTTGTCGCCTCGGGACAGCAAACTGCAACTGCTCGTGCCATGTCTGCCCCAAATTCCTGTTGTCGATGCACAGGACAGCCGGCCCCTTAGTTGCTCTTGCAATTTCTCACTGCACCTTTGTTGTCGTCACCCTGTTAGCCATCCCAATCCACCTAGGCAAAA